TTTCTTTGTATCACAATTCACAAAATAAATACTAATTAATTAGTCATTACACAAATACACAATACACAATAAACGTAATGACTAATGAGTCCGCTGTTCGCATGTGTTTCATTATTTATCAGAATAATGGTACAAATGTTATCATAATTCTATCATAAATGGTGGAGAATCTGTCATTTATCATTATATCGTAAAGATAATAATGTACAAAAACTACACTAACAATTAGTACCACACATGGATGAAATGCTTATATTATCAATGCCCAATGATAACAAGGGAAGCATTATCAATAATTGTAATAGATATTAAAAGTCCACATGATGAAAATCAAAAAATTTAATATGAAATCAGAATCTAAGAAAAAAGTGTATATTATAATTATTATGTACCGCAATGGCCAATGTATAATGTAAGTTAGATCAAATTTCGCAGGTCATGCCTGTGCATGACAGGCAAGACCCGTAGACACGCCTATGCCTGGACCGCTGAGCTGCTGCATCCACCAACGGTACTTGAAAATGAACGAACTGTTTTGAACACGAAAGGATTGTGCTGAACTAGCTAAAGAAGAACTATCTGAGCGCAATAGAAAAAAAAACCACGTGAGCTGTGTGTATATCGTATGCGAGCAACAACAGTAACAATATGGCGAACGGCGAACTCGTCCGCGTAACGGCGTCTATCCGCTGTCTCGAGCTAGACCGGGTATGGGGGGGGGGGGGGTCGGAGGAAGCGTCCTCCGCCAGTGTCACCAACGTCGGACAGTGGGCACAGCCGCCCAAGCATAAGGTGACCAAGTCCGAACAAATATATTGGTATGAAAATATGTCTTTTTAAATAAGAACAATTCGAATAAAAATTCGTATAACATTTCTAAAAATTAAGTCTTCATGAGTAAACTCAGTAACGCGACTACACCGTTTTTAAATTTTCAAGTATCGTATAAATAATATTAATTTTTCAATTAGATAAAAAAAAAAAAAAACGTGTTTGTAAAAATTTATAGAACACCACGATCGAGTACTTGAGTTATAAGAGATATATTTTATCAAAAATTCGTCTTGACCACGTATCACATGCAATATAATATTATTATTATTATTATAACGTATCATAAGATAATACTCACAGAGGTAAAAATCTGTTGCTTGACGTTCGTCAGCGCACACACACTGCCCAGCGATGAGAAAAATGTTCATAAACCACATTCAGAGCTGCGGGACGAGACTGCCAGTGGACACAGCGACGAGTGAAATGAAGACCTATGCCGTACAATGTAATGTCATTTCGATTCGCATAGCAGGGTGTCTCGCTTGGAATGTACAATCGCAGGTAGAACAGATATGGTCACCACTGCTGCGAAGGAATTGGAAAAATATTCTTATTATATTTTTTTCTAGCCTCGAAATTATTAAACGAAAAAAAAATTCTATTTAATTTATTTTAATAAAAACTTCAGAAAATATTTAAGAGGACGCTATACCTAAAGCGTTTCGCATGCAACGACCGAGTTCAGTATACTTCGTTCAGTTACGTATTGCTATATATTCTTATTTTATTATTATTTTTGTAATTATTATAGGCTGTATTATGTAGTATTTGTATTTTTATTTATATATTATACCTATTTCATAATAATTTTATAAATTGAGTTAAAATCTACACACCATACGTAGTACTTTTTGTTATAATGAGGTCTTAGAACTTAATAAACGTAATACATATTAAGATAATATTTATATGTACCTATGTTTAAGTTCACATGCACAGGTAACATATTAGTATTTTCTGTCTGATTATTGCTATATATACTTAATTAAATAATATATTAAAATTGGTTGTAGGGCAGGGTCCTACATAAATATATGTCAGTGAAATAATCACAAACACATATTTGTACATTATGTTTAAGCTATGCGCACACAGACAGTTTTTGCTATGTGTATATGCTTTTGTAAAAAAATACCTATATTTAAATAAAGGAGCTTTAATATTATAATATATAGAATAATTCACATTACTAAATCAAGCTATGTTATACAACAGTTCTCTGATGTATATATTGATATTTATTTAGGTAATGTGACTAGATTTTAATCGTGACATGGGATGCGCAGTTAAGAATATCATGGCGCCACATTTACATGTAGAATTTATAATTTACGCGATCCGCAACGGACGAAAGTCGAGAATATAATAAACGTCTCCCGACTACCACAATCGATCGGCCGACGCCGACTACAGTAGTGGGCGTTAAACGTCGCGTATGCTGCATCGAAACACCACCAGCGCGTTCTCAGTCA